CTAGTTAACCCCCACTGTCCCATTTTAAAATTCAAAGCAAATTTCCCTTCCCTTCCCCATGTCCAAAACCGGCGGCGAAGTGAGCGGCTAGCTAGTTGCTCCTGTGATGCTTTTATTTATATGGGTGATACTAAATTCACCTGCTGTCTTTTTCCCAACAACATGTCCGTATGTCGTGTTGCAATAAACAAAAGAATTCACCAATAATCTGTGGAAATAAAAGAGAAAAAGAGTGTCTCAATCATTACTAATTAGTTAATATTCTGTCTGTTACTCACCATTTGCGACCCAAAAAGAAAGTCTCTTTTACTTTTGCTGTTGTTGTAGTTAAACGAAAGAGTCAGTCAGGTTGAACTATACGAGCTTTTTGTTCTCACATGCCGACAGCTTTCCTTACATATAAATTTTATGAAAAATAAATAATTGGATAATTTACGACGATCATTATTGATTTTTTTGTCATTCTATCGTTAAATAATTAACGACGTTAAAACGATGTTATTTTAAAAAATAAATTTTTTATTAAAACGGTATTGTTTTGTATCTATATAACAACTAATTTTTAATGTTGTTAGTGAGAAAGCGACAAACTAACAAAAAAAACAAATGTATTAATTTCAATGAAAAATCTGAACGAATATAAAGTACAATGAGTATAATATGAGAGACAGTAAAGATTAATGTTATTTATTCTAAATAAATATATATTCATCCTAAATTTATAAAAAATAATTTAACGAGTAAAATGGGAATTAATAAAAATAATAATATAATGCGTAAAATGGGGATTATAATATAGTATGATATAAGGTCAAATTTTGTAATATAATATAATTTTATTTTATTAATGTAATTTGGTTTGTGTTGTAGATTTGATAGCTATTATAAGGTATAGAAGATGTTATCCCACAGTTATAAGGTATAAAATAAATCTTTCATGATTTTTGATCGTGTCTCTCAACCAGGGACGATATCAAGAGGAAAAGCAGTAATTTTGGTACCACTAAAATAAGAAAATTTATGTTTAGTCCATTCGAAATTTTCAGAAGTATAAATTAGTACAATAGTTAAATCACATATTGTCCCTCTAAAAATAAGTTTCCAGTTTCGTCCCTCGAAGTGCGGTTGGTATTACTATTATACCGACACTTGATGATTCATTTTAATTTTCTTTAACATATCAAAATCGAATAGTTTAATATTATATGATAAAGTTCTAAATTTAATAAAAATATTTAAAATTCGTTTTAATGTTTCTTTTAATATATATCTAGTTCTGGTACTACATAGGCGATGGCGACCCTTCCGATCTAATTTATTTCATTCGCAAACGTCAGGATTCGAACCTCTGATATTGCTTAAGGGACCTAATGCCTCATTCTACTAGACCAACTGGTTGTTGGTTAGACTCCAATTTTAAATAGAAAATATTTTTGGATTTTTATTTTTTTTATGAAATATAGTTTACCTAAAAGGAGGGGAATATTAATCTCAAATGGAGTATTAGTTATATAGGTGAAATATACAAATGATCATTCGGCTATAAGATATTACTTTATTGAGTTATTTGATTGTTAAAAGTTGATAAAACTTATAAGTTGGTCCCTCAGTTATAATAAGTTGTTTTATTGAGTATTTCGATTATGAAAAATTACAAAATGGTTATTCGACTATTTATTATGTTCCAAACTCATCATTTTCTGTTAAAAGATTAACGGTCGTCTAAGTTGGACGCTCACATATTGACTGAGATATTATAGTCATTTGAGATTATAAGATTATATTTTTATCATATCTTAATCAACAAGTTAACGTATAACTCAAACTCCCGTCAAATTTTTAATGAAATATAACAAGTTGGAAACATAATGAATAGTTGGGTGACCATTTTGTAACTTTTAATAGTCAAGTGACTCAACAAAGAAACTTACTATAGTCGGAGGACATTTTGTAACTTTTAATAATAGAAGGAATTAATAAAACAATATCCTATAGTTGGGGACAATTTGTGTCCTTTACCCTAGTTATATTGGGTTATTAATTTTTGTATCATATATAAATTGTAGATTTAGATAGTATATTTTTAAAATTTTAAAATTATAATATTTATTCAAATAATATTAAATTTGGAACTAGAAGACCAACATTTTCCATTTCAAATTGAAACGATTTATTTATTTATTTGATTAATTTTGGGTAAGTACAATATATTATATATTCAAATATAACTCTTAACCTTTTGACAATAAACGCTCATATCCCTGATATCTATGGTGCTCGAACCCGAATCCTCAAGAATATTAACAATCTTTTTATCGCGAAGTCCACTTAGTTCGTACGAAATGATTTACTTTTATACATGAAAATGAAAAAATGGCCATCCTCTCGTTTTATGACCAAATATACTTAAAATTTAATTTATTCAATTTTCTGACTCCCTTATTCATTCCTTCTATTTTTTTCATCCAACCAAACAAAAACTAAAATACTTCAAGACTTAATACGTTATTTAGTCCCTAAACTATGATCCTTTTCTCATTATAATACCTTTTACTTTTGAATGGAGGTATTACATTACATGGCACATATTAATAGGGCAACATGTCCAATTGGACTTTTAACGCGATTACAGAAAACGGTTGAATTGGAAAAGAAAATATAATTTAAGGAGCAATCTGAACCAAAACAATCTTTAAGGATCAAACTGAAGAAATAGTATACTTTAGGGATGGATTCATACATTAAGCCTATATAAAATTATAATAGATGGTTAAAAAGTTTGAATGTGTCATTCATTATCTTTTAGAAGATTCAAATTCGAATAATATTATACATAAATTTTATATTAAAAATTTAATGAGTACTAATATAAATTTATATTCGAATGCTAAAAAAAGTTTAAACGTATCATTCGTTGGCATAATGCTAAAAAAGACTTCTAACATTTGATTTAGGAATGGCAACGGGTAGGGTTTGGGGCGGGTTTTGCTCATTCCGTCCTCGAACCCAAAATAAATTTCCGTCCCTGACCCCGACCCGATCTCCGACGGGTTTTTTATCGGGGTGCCCCGTCGGGGATTTTTTTTGCCCCGTCACCGAACTCGACCCGAAATATTATACTCAAACCCGAACCCGAACCTGAAAATATTTTATATATAATTAATATAAAATATATAAAATATTTATTATATATATATATATATAATTAATATAAAATATTATATATATATATATATAATCGGGGCGGGGCGGTGATACCTTGCCCCGAACCCGACCCGAAAAAATCTTCGAACCCTACCTGATATCATTCAACCCGACCCAACTCAAACTTGACCGGATTTCAAGTTTTCCCATCGGGTTCGGATCATATTGTCATCCCTAATTTGATTAAGTTATCATTCTAACTTATATTCTCTTTTTTTTTGGGGCATTTTGGGGTCAAACATTTTATTTTAAGACATAAAATACCTTAATATTTGACTGAATAACCACTTTAATCATTTTTTAGCATTTTCCCCTCACATTTAATTTTAAGGGGAAAAATCATATTTTAGAGTTTATTGATTAACGATTACCATCCACATATATACCTTTTACCTTGAAATAAAACGTTTGAGATGTTAAAATATTAAAAAAATATAAAATTAAAATAATTATTTAATCAAATATTTAAAACGTTTATCCATTATTAAACCTACATTTTAATAAAAGGATAATGAAGAGAAACCATGGACACTGAATATATATCGAAGTGAGCAATGCCATTAAATGTATAGAATGCCACGACCACGAGCAACAACTAATAGAACGACAAAAGGCAGCACCATCAACCACCGGAGAAAAGCTAGAAAGCCGCCGGAGATGAAGGTTTTTATTACCTAAACTATTAATTTTGATTTTTTTTAATACCTAAAGTATCAATTTTTTTCAAAATCATACATAACGAGTTTTTGTTTCATTTTACTTTTTAGTAATCCACTGTTAAAAACTTAACATATTTAATATTTAAACTATTAATTTTGGTCCGTTTAAGTATCTAAACTTTCAAATTTCTTCAAAACTTAATGTTAAATTTTAAAAGAAATTCTAAAACGAAATAAAAAAACTAAACTTTAGGTATAATTTTAAAGAAATAAAAAAATTATGTACTAAAACAGATAAAAACTGATAGTTTAGGTACTAAATGTAAAATTTACCCTATTATATATATGATTTTATATTTAAACCGCTAAAGCAATGGATATGAATACTTGTATTTTTTAGGTGTCTTTTTTTTATGAATTTTTATTAGTATTATGGCATAATATAAAAAAGAAACCCTTAATATTTTATTAAATTTTCACTTTGCTTCCCATATTTTTTATTTTGGAGAAGAAAGTTCTTTAATAAATAAAAAAATTTAGTTATTAAATAATTTTTATTTTTAAAATAAGTTTTTTTATCTTAATATAAAAATTATAGGTTAAAATATTCTAGAAAAAAATAAAAAGAGAGAATAATTATTTAGTTAAATGTTAATCTTTTTTACTTAAAATAAAATATTAAACATTAAAACGCTAGAACAAAATAATTATTTAATTATATCGTAAATTATGCGAATAGTCTCTTTTTTTTTCTGATCAAATTTGGTTACCAATTTAAAAATTAAGAGTATATGGTCCCTAACATTATCGATTCTTTCAATTTTAATCTCTAATATTATCAATCCATTCTATTTTAGTCTCTTATCCATGAACTCTCGTTCATTTTTAGATTTATTCCCACGGCTATGTAACATATTCATTAAGAGTTAATGACAAAGGGATTTAAACCGGACGAACATATAATGTTAAGGACTGTTTACTCTGATTTTTTAAATTAGTGATCAAAGTTAGCTAAATTCCTAAACAAAAGTGACTATTCTCATAATTTACCCTAATTATTAGTATCCCCTTTTCTCTCTCACATGGACGGCTCCGAACTCTCTACTTGAGCGGAAAAAACCCTTCTTCACCACAGCTAATTCTCTCTCTCCTCCATCAAACCCCAAAAATATCTTCTTCATTTTTTCAGATCTCAAACAGAGAAAAAGAACCATAACAAAAGCTGAAAATTTTCTGGGAAAATCCCCATTTCAGATGTATCTAATTTGAGATGAAGAAGAAAGCTCAAAACAAGCTCCATTCTTCACCTCTTTCACTCTTCTGCTGTTTCTTCTCACTCCTCATCAGCTTCTCTTCATGTGAGGAGCTTCCCGTTACCAGCCATGGCAGCCTCACGGAACAAGAAGTTGGCTTCATCAAGCAACGTCAGCTTCTCTACTACAGGGACGAGTTGGAAGAAGCCGTCACCGTCGACCCAACGCTCGTTTTCGAAAACCCCAGGCTTAGAAATGCTTACATTGCTTTACAAGCTTGGAAGCAGGCTATAATTTCCGACCCTTCTAATCTCACCGGTAATTGGGTCGGATCCCATGTATGCAACTACACCGGCGTTTTCTGTGCTCTGGCGCCGGATAATGGCACCATCAAAACCGTCGCTGGCATTGACTTGAACCATGGGGATATCGCTGGGTACTTGCTGGAAGAGCTTGGGTTGCTTACTGATCTTGCGTTGTTTCATATTAACTCGAACCGGTTCTGTGGTACTATTCCTCGGAGTTTCAGTAAATTGAGGATATTGATCGAGTTGGATCTTAGCAACAACCGGTTCGCCGGGAAGTTCCCAGCGGTGGTTCTCCGGTTGCCAGCGCTCAAGTTCTTGGATCTGCGGTTCAATGATTTTGAAGGAACTGTGCCCAGAGAGGTTTTTGACAAAGATTTGGATGCCATTTTTATAAACCACAACCGGTTCAGATTTAGCTTACCGGACAACTTCGGGAACTCGCCGGTTTCCGTCATTGTGTTGGCCAACAACAAGTTCCACGGCTGCCTGCCGGCGAGCATCGGCAACATGAGTGGTCTTGAAGAAATTATTTTGATGAACAATGGGTTGAGATCTTGTTTGCCCAGAGAAGTTGGTAGGCTTAAAAATATGACTGTGTTTGATGCCAGTTTTAATGAGTTGATGGGGCCTTTGCCGGAGGAAATTGGGGGAATGGTAAGCCTGGAGCAGCTCAATGTGGGGCATAATATGTTGTCCGGTAAGATTCCGGCGAGGATTTGTCGGTTGCCGAAGCTGGAGAACTTTACGTTCTCGTATAATTTCTTCACTGGAGAGCCGCCGGTTTGCTTGACGTTACGGGGATTTGATGATCGGAGGAATTGCTTGCCGGCAAGACCTTTGCAGAGAAGTGCGGCGCAATGTAAGTCTTTCTTGTCTAGGTCAGTGGATTGTAGTTCGTTTAGATGTGCTCCTTTTGTTCCTTCTCCGCCTTCCCCGCCGGTGGTAACTTCACCGCCACCTCCTCCTGTTGTTGTAACATCACCGCCGCCACCTACCCCAATTTACACCCCACCATTCTCGATACCTCCTCCACTCGTATACACTCCACAATCACCTCCTCCACCGCCCCCACCATCTCCTTCACCACCATTTTACTCACCTCCGCCTCCGCCTTCTCCATCGGTTTACTCACCTCCGCCCCCACCACCTGTATACTCTCCCCCACCACCACCGCCACCGATTTATTTACCTTCCCCCCCACCGCCCTCACCTCAACCACCTCCTCCACCAATTTATCCATCACCTCCTCCACCTACGGCAACTTATTGTGTGAGGTCCACACCACCTCCGCCGCCCAATTCACCACCTCCATTGTTTTCCCCACCGCTGCCACATCATTCACTACCACCTCCACCACATTCTCCACCCCCGCCACCACATTCACCTCCACCACCAATTTATCCATACTTATCTCCACCGCCACCACCACCTCCCGTTTATATTCCACCTCCTCCAGTTCACTCTCCACCACCACCCTCACCTCCTCCATGTATAGAACCACCACCACCATCACCACCTCCCCCAGTTTATTACAAGCCACCCCCATCACCTTCACCTCCTCCACCACCAGTTCATCACCACTCTCCTCCACCGCCCTTTATTTACGAAAGCCCGCCCCCACCATTATTACCACCACCAGCTCCAGTATATGAGGGGCCATTGCCACCAGTAATCGGAGTGCCATACGCTTCACCTCCGCCACCACCTTTCTATTGATTGTTTTGAGAATTTTCCTCCTTGGAAGGTATTCACAAAAAAGAAAAAGCCTAGCACTTTATATCAACTATGGGATCAAACTTTCCATTGAATGCCATTGAAGAAGAAGAGGATTCAAAGGAGAAATTCTCTCCTATATTCAATTGAGAATTGGTATGGGATCTCTAGCATCTGTGAAATAAAGAATTGCAGAGAAAGGTGTATGTATAGAGATGAATTTGACAAGGACACCATGAATTCTACTTGTTTTTGTGGTGTTCTTCTTAGTGCCTACTATCATAATTTTGTTCTTCACTTTTTATTTTATTTTATTTGTATTTTGATGATTTTCCAGAATTCTAGAGGAAACATTTTGGCAAACACATCAGAATAAACTTTTCTAGACTTGGTTTTTTAAGATGGGTAAATTTTTTAAATCTCCTTTGTAATAACGAAAATGAATACTTACAAAACATAAGTGACTATTTAAGTAGTTTACCCTTTTAAGATTCACCTTTGTAGGCTCCCGAGTGCTTTCATATTAGCATTTGAGATCTTAGTGGGACCTGAAATTTGAAATGGGACAATTCCCATTCTACTTTCCTTACCTTAATTGATGGTAGATTATATATATATATATATATATTTATCATTTGATTAATGTTTGTTGGGATTTAGTCCCACGTGCAACACTCTAGTGATGATGGGTTTTTGAAATTAATGAATTCAAACAAGACTTCACTATCAAGTCCCGGTGATCATTATAAATTACAAAATGGTCCCCTAAATTATAAGAAGTTGTTTATTGAGTCTTTTGATTATTAAAAATTACAAAATTGTCATTCGGCTATTCATTTTGTTCTAACTAGTCTTTTTTTATTAAAAAAATTGATGGTATTTTGAGTTGAATGTTAATTTGTTAATCGAGATATAATAGTCGTTTGAGATTATAAGATCAAATTATCATATCTCAGTTATCATATTAACATCCAATTTAGACTATTGTTAATTTTTTGAAGAAAAATAACTAGTTTGGAACATAATGAATAGTTAGGTGCCCATTTTAAAACTTTTAATAGTTGGGAGGACTCAATAAAGTAACTTCCTATAATTAGGGGATCATTATGTAATTTTTAATAATCGGGAGATTTAATAAAATAATATCTTATAGTCGAGGAACTATTTGTATACTTTACCCATAATAATATAATTAAAATCTAATTTTTAAAAGTTAATGATTAAAACTATTATTTAATATAATTCAATCATTTTTATTGTACTTTATCTTATAATAAATAAATGAACATTTCAAATTTGCATTTGGATGAATTGGTTCCAAGTATATCCCCACCAAAAGAAAGAGGGGCCCCTTCAGGAAAGGTATATCAGACCTTTGCAAATCAGAATCCATAATGTGAAGAAAACTTTAATACCAACAATGAATTTAGTTTTTATTTTCTTCACCTAAAAAATGGGACATAACTAACCACATTTAATTAGGAGTGGGATGCCTTAGCCAGGTTGTAATTTAGGTCACAAACATTCATGGCACTTCATGAGATTTTGAAAATGCACGAACCAATTTACATGTTCAGAGGTCACGGGTTCGAGCACCAACGATTGTAGCATAGTGATTGAACGTTCATTGTTAAATGGTGAAGAGTATTTAGAACATATACTACTTTGTAATCACATTATCTTAATAAAAGAAGATTTCGAAAATGGACCCAATGGCCATGGAAATGGAATTTGGGGTCACCAACTTACTGATATAAACCATAGAGTCAAATGACCAGTATGTGTTAGTCATCATCTTCATTACTACAGACATCTCAATCCGTTGATGATGACGTTCTAATGGTTCAGCCATTAATGGTACTACACTAACGAAAACGAAGTCTTCCGAATCTACGCATATGATACGTTTTAAGTCCATTTGAACCTACAATCTCTGATCGATATCCGATGAACTAGTTATCGATTAACGATTAAGAAAATAGCTTATGAGGAGATAATACCTATTCGAGCCTATAGGTTCACTAAACAAGATGGTATTTTTTTCTGTTGAAGCTCCAATTCAGCCCAAAGCTGCTATTTTCTTCTTTCTACCTTCAATTCCAAAATTTTAAAGAGTAAAATGGCTAAATCCGTAACTTGTGCCTAGCACAAGGACTAATAACAAAATTTAACCATCATAAAAACCATCAAAAGAAAAAGAAAATGGGGACACGGGGATCCCTTCTCCCTACAGAATTGTTCGAAATTTTGGATCAAATCATCTTCAAACCCAGACGGAACAAGAGTATAACTAAAATTTCAGAATTTTAAAAAGTACAGTGACTAAATCCGAAACTTATGAATAATATGAGGACTCATAACAAAATTACACCATCATAGAACCCATAAAAAGGAAAGAGAATATTGGGTTTCCTTTTCCCTGCCTTCAATATTTTTTTGAATAGAATAATCTCAATATTCAATAATATATATATTACCTTGAAAAGTTAAAAATCGAGACTGCAAAATCATACAACAATGGGGGGAAAAGGAAGCTGATAAAACTCTGTAGGGCACACAGAACACTCGACCGAAATTAAAATAAAACACATCATACAACAATGGGGTTTCCTCGGTTTCTCTTGCTCTCTTGTCTGTTATGAGCATCAAACTAGTTGTCTATGGACAAATATCGACATCGCATCCTCGAACCCGGGAACGAACAATTTTAAAAGAATTTTGTAACGGCTTTGGATGTTTTGAACGGAAACCAAAACTTTTCACCCATCGATTTTAACAGGCAGCGAGAGGATGCTTAACCCGACGTCCGGGGTCCGGGATGCTTTTCTTGTTCTTTTATGTTCACTCGAATGGGTTGCCCCCAACAGCAGGGAAAGGCTGTGGGGTAGCTGCTGCTGGAAATCTGCCGGTCACCTGTTGATCGGTATTTACAAAACCAAAAGATGCTAGACTGCCGATGCCGCCAATTTGATGGCTGCAAAGCACGGAATAATTCATGGATTAGGATTATGACGAGCTTTTACCAGATGGCGCTCAGCAACTTGAGGCACAGCCAGTAAACCAGATCGAAGCCACAACATAAAACAGAAGAAATGGACATTGCATCGCCTTGAACAGTGAAATCAGGAAACAGCTAAACCAACGTGGGACGTGCATCCAGAAACGTGTGCAAAGGAAGAGAGAAGGCGACAACGAAAGACGGTATGAGCATCCATGAAATTCCATGTACTGTAGCATTTCTCCCTCAATCCCCTTAATGGTTAAAAGTTAATCTCTAGAACGATAACGAATGAATTACCTGGAAGGTGGCAAGTTATTAGGTAATTGTGCTCCGAGGTGAGGCCCTGTAAGTTTCCGAAAAATTCAGTATATCAAAAGGACAACACAAAGATAAACAAAAATGAAGGGGGAACTAAAAAGCCTTACGTTGTGGCACAGATGATGCATAAGCGAGTGAAGGCAATGGCATCCCTGATGCATAAGGTAAAGATTGAGTTGACGTCCACGCTGATGATGGAGTACCGACGCCAGAAGTAGGCATTGGGCTAGAAGGAGGTGGCACATTTGGTAAAGCACTTTGCAAGGAAGCCATTGAAGGGAACTGCACCAGAAGCAAAAATGCATGAAGATTGTAAAACACAATACAGCACAAGTCCTGGATGAGTTCAAGACGAAATGGTTTTGCACTTGGATTTCAAAAAGAGAGAAGGTTGGGAAGCGGCTATCGGATAAAATCATCATGCATCAGAAATTAACGACCAAAATTGCACTCAATAGGTATTTTCATCATCAAGATTGCCAAATACAAGATTCAATTAAGGCATTTATGATGTACAAAATCAAATAAACATCCAAATTTCCGCACAGGCTCAGCCAAAACAGTCAACCTTAGCATAAAGAAATAAACACAACCTTGTTCTCTCTCTCTCTCTCTCTCTCTATAATTTATATATATATAAAGAAGCAATGAGATTTGAATTCTACACAAATGCAGAAGTGATGAAATAGCTCAAAAGATGTGAATAACAGACTGTTTGAGTTTGAACTGGAGGTGCTTCGCTGCCAAGATCAAATGGGTTCATTGATCTTGATGACTGTGGAAAAGAAGACATTGGCTGCAACAAAAACAAAATGCATGTAAATGACACATCAAGTAACTAAGCATGCACTTCAGAAAAATGAATTCGTGAACCAAATTGCACAAGGCATAGCAGTACCACTCCAGTATCATATTGCATTGGGAACCCCATCCCATATGATGGGCCAGTTTGCCACCCTGGTCCAGCAGCAGGATAGGAAGGATGGGTTAAAGTAAACAGATCCTGCAAAAGTCAAGAAGCTAACACAATAAGAAATCCTCGCAAGAGAAAACTAAAGTCCCCTTTGAAAAAGATATTACCGCTGGAAGTTCCTTTCTTCCACTTTCTTTTTTTTCTGTAGGAGGAAGCTGTGATGCAACAGTAGAGGTGGCATCATGGGTGGGTTTTGAAACAGCTTGAGGCATTTGTGCAACCAATGCACTCAAAGGCCCCAGCATATTATGGGAAGGAGCAAAATTCTGCGGCTGCAAAAAGGCGCAATATAAGAATGAAGTTAGGTGAACAAAGAGTTGATTATCTATGATATGCCACAATATAAGAAGCTAGAAAATACGTCCCACCTGATTGGCTGAAGTTCCATCGACAGGTTGAATAAATTGTTGGGCGATAGACTGACCACTAGCTGCAGAGAAAAATGATGTCTGTTGCTGCTGCATATTAGGCCATTGTCCAGCATTATATACACCAATCTGGGAACTGCCACTGCCGACAGGCATTGTGGGTGTTAATCTAGGGGCAGCTGTTGAAGCACCAGTAGGAAGCAGCGTTGAAAAGTTGCTAACTGGTGCAGCTGCAGGAGCAGCAGTGTCAAAGGGTAACGTTTGGATCTGCCCTGTGAATGCAATATTGGAGTTACCACCAAGAGGTGCTCCATTCACATTGGTCACAGGTGTAGATGCTGGGATGGACAATTGAGAAAGAACA